GGGGGGGGGGCATTCAGCGCATCCCCCGTGAGGGGTCCCGAGTGGGAGCAGGGGGATAAGGCATGTATTGCCCTGCAAAGAAAGGGTTAAAGGCTGCGCTCGTCCCCTTGTGCGTGGGAGTGGGAGGTGGGACACGCGTGAGCTCCCGGGGCAGCTGGGCTCCCGCCGTGCCGCAGGCTCCGCGGTTAATAACAGCAGCCGGAGCGTATAGAAAGCACTCGCTGGCTTTCGGGGATGCTTGGGATAACCGCGGGATGGTGACTCTTCAGGAGCTACAAGGCCGTTTTTGCAATTCGCAGGGTGCCGGGGTAGCCCTGCCTGTGCCCCCAAAACCAAGCGGAGGGGTGGGGTGAGTGTCGGTGGGCGGGAGGCCGGAGACACCCAGAAAGACACCCCAGAAAATCACTGCAGAAATAGCACCGAGGGGAAGAGGCTGCTTTCCCAAATAGCAGCAGCGCCGAGGGGAAGAAACCTTCTCTTTCTTTCCCAAACAGAAGTTTTTCCGCTTTGCATGACTATAGGAAATACTTGGGGTGCTTTATAGAGGGGCATTCCCCCCAGCCGGTCTCCCGTCGGGTCGGTGAGAGCTCAGAGAGCTGCCGGGGGAGAGATCAAGTGAGTTCAAGTTCGGCAGCCCAAATGATGTTGGAAATGCACCTTTGAGGCGCTGCCGAAGGACAGAGGTGCCCGGGGCTGCGGGTGGGAGAAATCCCCTTCCCACGCCCGTGACAGCCCGGCAGCGGGCGAATGACCCACTGGAGCATTTCCAGAGGGAGACACGTCCAAGAGCTACAACACTGCAGTGACAGAGAGGGAGGAACGGGGTGACCGCCAGGCTCCAAGCTCGGCGACACCGTTTGGTGGCGGAGGAATGGTGGTTTTTCAAGACTTTAGTTACAAATACCAAATCGGCCGTCCCAGTCCCGGCGGGGAGACACGAGACTCCTGGCACGCCGTCCCCACCGGGGCCGAAGCGATAAGAAATCTGTGCAAGGGAGCAAAGTTGTTTCTCCCTGAGGTATCGCAGGGAGAAGAGGGGGGGAGCAGGCGGGACCCCTTGCTGGAGCGGCACAAACCATCGGCAGCCGCGTACCTGCGGGCTCGCCCAAACCCGACCTGGCTGGATCCGGCCCTGGGGAGTCTGCAGGAGCTGTGTGCGCACCCTCGGCTTCACCCTCGCAAACAAACGGCAAACCCAAGGGCTTAAAAAAAAGCCCAGAAGGCAAATAAAAAGCTTTGCGAGCTATGGGCTGTTCAAACAGTCCGGGCTTCTGGATGCTGGTTGAAAGCCTGGCTTAAAAATCACACGGGCTCAGGAGTACGAATGGTTTGCAGGGAAAGGGTTATTTCTTGGTTGCGAAAACTTCGTTTTTTTTGTTATTCCTAAGGCAGGGCAGCCAGATTTGCCGTGACCTTTGTGTATCCAAGTGTTTCTTTCAAAGCAAATTTTCCTTCTCTGTTTTCAATTTGGAATTTTCCTTTTCTTTCCCTGTTTCTGCCTCTCCCTTCCCCCCCCCGCTCCGTCTTCCTTTATGAATACTCTCTTTTGACGGGAGGAATCCAGCTCAGGCTGCGGCTATTCCTGCATGCAGGCAGCTATGTGTTTGGCCCTGCCGCGGCAGAGCGGCTCGGCGTGGACTCATAAAACTTGTAAAGCAGCTTTTATCCGCTGGTCCGGAGCGGCCGGTGGCACGTGTGTCCCTCCCGCAGTGCCCTCCGGCTGGCATGGGGCGAGCAGGTATATGG